GTCCTGGTACCTGCAGTTAGCTGAAGGCCTCATGCAAATCTGTAATTAAAACATGAGGGAAAATACATAACAATTAAGAGTCTTTTCCTTCTTGCTCTTTGGGTCATTGGAAGAGAGCTGTGAGCATGATGATGATACTCTGGAGGCAACATACTTCTGTAAATACTCACAAGTAAGAAAAGCAGGCTAACAGCAGCAGTGCCTCAGAATGTAGCCATTTCTGACAAAAATTATTCTCTAAATGTATTCAGGGATATATTATACATAAGTTCTAGAGGCTTTTTAGGCAAGGGTGGTTTTTTTGCCTAATAAAGTATTCAATACCACTTTGTATTTCTTTAGCTGGCAAATAGATATAAATATGCTTGGTTTCAAAGGGAAAGCATGTCTGATATGTATATACTGTATAGGATCAGGAAGAATTTCATGAATAAGCCAACAGATCCCAACACAGCAATTCAAATAAATGAATGCTGCTCTGTTTTAGAGAAGACAGTACAGCAGTAGAGATGGCAGTTATGGTTATTTAATCACAAATTGTGTGGTATTTTATTAGATTCCCTGCTCCTGGAAACTGAATCTCCGTTTGACTTCCAGCATTCTTGGCTGGAAAAAAAATTGAGAAATTGACATGACATTTCAAAAATATAATCAAAAGGAAAAAATAGCTCAATTTGTACTTTAAGGTGTTTAAACCAAACTCTTTTTCAGATTTTGATTTCTTAGTTTTGAAATGCTCAGGTACTACTGGGCTCAGATTGAAGGGTTACCTCTGCCCAGTTCTGTGGGACCATGAGCAGCAGCCCTCAGATTGTCTGATCCTGAACAGCACTACAGGAGTGCTCTAACTGCTGTGATGTGTGACATGGAGTATTTTTTGAGTTAGGCATTGGCACACCATTTTCAGAGAAAGGGACTTGCTGGGAATCACACGGCTTTTTGAGGGGAATTCTCCCCACCGTACTGACTGGCAGAGTAACTGATCTCACGCTTGGTGTACACTAATGGTCAAGATTATGATTACAGCTCTAAGGAAGGGAAATCTAAGACTAGTGCTCAGAGGAGGTTGCTAGTATAATTTAAAATAAGGCTGAAAGCAAAAGAAACTAATTGTTTCTTAAATCTGCATTTATCATTTCCACAAGATTGTTGGCAGATCTTTTATTCTTACATTTTCTTCCTTCTTTTGCATTGCATAGTTGTACATGATAGTGCATGGCAGGGTTTTTCAGTTATGAAACTCAAGAGTCACAGTTCTGATATATCTGAAACAAAGGACCTAGTGTGGCCCAACTGAGAACTAAATCTGTCTTGCTTGTTTCAGATGGGTAAAAGAAATTCTACATCAGCAATTAAGTCTTACTTTTTAATGCAAGTTCTCAAGAGTTGTGTGAACTTCACTTCCAGAGGTTTCATCTACCTTTAAGTGGTAGGTACAGGTGGTAAACAACTTTAAGAAAATGAAGCAGAAGTTTTCATAGAATTTTTTGAATGTTCATGTCCTCCATTTCAAAAATGGGCAAGTTGTATAAATTTCATTTTACATTTGAGGAAACTGGGAAGGGAAAGTTGAAGTGACTTATCCGATGTCATAGAGATAAATAACTTTGAAAATGGCCAAATAAGTTCAAAACTCTTCTATTCCATTTTCTTTCCTATGGACAGTTTTTGCAGATAATAGAATTATTCTACATTTATTAAAGGAAAGGGGGTTTTAAATGTATGCTACAGTCTTAAGAGAAGAAAAGGCTTCAAAATCAGAGTTTGAATTGGATGGATTTGGGCAATACAGGTAAATCAAGATATTGATTATATGTCCAGAAAGATGTAGGGTACCCTTTCCCTCCAATGTTATAACACGGTTTAGTTGTTTCTGATTATTTTTGCTAATCTTTGAAGCAGAGGCAGATAGTGGAATGTCAGTATCATTCCCTCATCCATTCAGGCAGCACTGTAAAAGAAAGCAAAGCCAGTTCTGAGCACTTCAATATTTTTGTGAGAGGTTTTGGTTTTTAGGTATTCTAGTTCTTCTTCATCAGACTAATTCCCTTTCAAATTTTACTGGAAAATTATGCCCACTAGTTAACATTTCAAAGTTTTGAAACCCCAAACTAATTAGACTAATGGCATTTTTCATTTGTTTCTAGAAGGCCATGGATTGTGGAGAACTGGAAGTGAGGAAGCAGGCTGTATGATTTGCATATCCCAAAGGAGGAGATAGGGAGCTGTGGAAAGGTACCTGCAATACAATTGCTCTGGGGTAATGGAGCCTGTGATCTGCTTGAAGGTAGAAAGGAAAGAATCACGAGAGGCGTACAGGTCTGAGAATGAGAGAGAACAAAATCATGAGGATGGTATGGAGATGTTGCAAGACTGAGCAAGAGAAAAAGTCATGACTGAAAATGGGTGTGGAGGGAGGGGTGAAGGGATGGGAAAGCAGTGAAATTGGAGAATTCTGCTGTTGCCTTCTGGTCAGAAAGTAATGTGGACGGGAAGCAGGCAAAAGAAGATGGTTAAAATCTGGAAAATGTCTGAAACTGCAGAAGAGGCTACAGTGGTTGAAGACAGGGGAATCTTACCATAATAGTAATTTTGACTTTGGCTCTGAAAGTTGTAAATAATATATAGCTTCTCTGAGTGGAAGTACATTACTTCTTATTGATGGCATAGAGGATCCGCTTCTACAGTTACTGCAGCAATATATGAGAAGCAGTTTTCAAAGTTATCCCTTTTCTTTGTTATGCTCTACTGCTTTTTCACATTTACAATTTTCCAGATGCAGGCATCCCTTTGACACAGTAAAGGAAAAAAGACATACATGAGGATTTATCTGTCACTGATTCCTTCAAGAGTTTTGATGGATTTTTCTTTCTTAAGAAAAACCCTTGTTAGAGCATTTAGAGCAGATGAAAGTGTATGGATGCTTTTTAGTAGTGATTAAACCATGCCTGACAGCTATGAAAACATTTTTAAACTGGTGTAGCATGGGTCATTTTGCCTGTAATTTAAGGACAGAAACAGATTATACTACCCATTTAGTGCTTTTTTTTCATCTTTAGAAGAGAAATCTGTAATGAGTCTCTGGCGTGGAGGACTGTTTGCTATACAAAGAAGCAAAGTCAGAGGGTGTTTGACACTTCAAACTAATTTTGTTCTAAGACATAAAATGAAAATCATGATAAGGTGAGGCATGTATACAGCATGCACCCAGATCCTGGATCAGAAACAATTAATTATAAAACATGAATGATTTTCCATGAAAGAAATATTCTGAAACAGCTAGTAGTGTTCAAACTGGAGATTTGCAGAAGAGCTTTGTTCCCACACAGAGCATGAGCTTTGGTCTTTAATGATGTGCTCGACGGATAATTCTGTGTTCAGTAGGCAGGAACCTGCTCACTCCGAGGGCCCTAAAGAGCACATTCATTGCCCGGGCAGCTCGCATCAGGCCCAGTGGCCATTGCAGAGATGAGCTTCCTACTCCCTCTAGTGCAGCAACTGTGCACTCAGGCACTGCCTGCTACAGTTTTTGAAAAAGGTTCAGTGATATGAAAGAAGTTAAAGACTAACAATTTTTGCGATACAAATTGAATCAGTTTGTGTGTTGATTTAGAATGAATTCAGGAATACTGTCAAAAGAACAGTATTTTTGTCAACTGATTTGACCGACGTGGTCTTAAAAGGTGTTTATGGCTTAAAAAGGGGAGCTATCCTGGCTAAAACTGGATCTGAATAGTAATGAAGGGTTGGAAGTCAGAACTTGTATTTCTAAGGTGCCATAACTGGGGAATTGCAAGTCAGATGCAGATATCTCAATTCCCTGTACAGAAAGTAGAGGAGAGGCCAAAGCTGCAGCAGCTGGGCTGGGGAGCTTCCTGCAAGGAGCAAATATGGATTCAAATTTTCAGAAAAGGGAAAATATATGCCCTGAGCTAACTCCTGTCTCTCACTTCCCTGTGCCCATGCTGTCATTACTTGTGTGAGTGGAGCTTGAGCACTTTTTTATGCAGATGAGTAAATCTGCCCTCCTAGTTATTTCTGGACCATGAAAGAATAGAGTGGTAAATTAAAACGTCCCTAAAAGGTGATAAAAGTGCCTGGTAGTAGTTCTAGGTTCCCACTCCCTTCAGCCTTTTGAAGACTCTGCTCTCTGCTAGTGCAACTATCAATACCTTCCCTTTCCATAGCACTTGCAATCTTAAAAAAGGGCCAGAATTGGTGGTATGACAGAGTGGGCTGCAGAAAGAAAATGGTTTCCTTTTTTTATGTTCTGGAAATACATTTTACACTGACAAAAATTTGTATGGAAGAGGTATGACAGAAAGTACTGATACCCATAAACTGCCAGAAATATTTTACATTTCAAATTGAATCAATGTTATCATATTCTTTCCCTTGGGTTATTGCTTGTGTGCCTCTTTACAATTCTCCTCCAATCAAATATTTTTTTCTGCTCCAAACCAAACTCCTGTCATCTCCCTGGCATCTGGTGGCTGCCTATTGTGGACACAGCAGGGACAGACAGATCTTATTTTACCATTAGCTGTGACCTTAAGGGTGATTACATTTGCATTCCCTTCTATTTCTAAATTATCCTTTGTCAGGGTGATTTTGTAATTTATGTATTTAATCCCTTCTTAGAGATCTATTTCTGAGTGCTTAGTATTATATAAGATATTTTAAACATATATTCTGCTAAATAAATTATCTCCAGCAAAGATCACACATCAAGCATTGGCAACATAGATGACTTAATTGTTCATCTATGCTTTGCTTGACTGTTCTCTCCCCAGCTACTGTCAGTAAAAGGGACTCCTTTACTCCATTCCCCCTTACAGTAAATATTTTATTACCTGAGACAGCCATTGTGTCACCTCTAAGAACATGTCCTAGAGATGACATAGGGATATGACATAGCACTTCACAGGGATTCACTACCATGAGGCACACAAGATGAGATGGGCAATCTTAACTTGTCACCAGACATGGATTTTGGACAGCAAAACAAAACTAAAACAAAAAAACCAAAAAAGATTGGTTATAGTTATAATGTTGTGGTGATCATCCCAGTCTAACTTCCGAAAAGAGAGAATGTCTTTTATTTTATGTGAAATCCCTGGGAAAAAAAAATTCAGATGGGCTTTAGACCACATAATTTAATAATTAGAAACCGACTTTGGTAATCATTGCACAACTATGAGAGATGAGCATTAAAACAGTCAAACAAGCTGGAAAAATTGAGAGCTTCAGTTTGGGAGCCATACTCCTTTTCACCTGCTCAGCATCTCTCCAAGAATTCCTAATGTGTGCTCCAGATTTTCTCCAAGTCAGGGGCTGTTCACAGCAACAGCACATTTTCAAGTTCATCATATCAGTGCTTAATAACTTCCATTTCAGGCTGTGGATTCAGTCTTTGGAAAACAAATGCAAATTACCTAGATGGCTGTACTTGGAGCCAGACATCTGGACCGATTCCTCTCTCCAGATCTTTCTTACTAAGGTAGGAATCTGTCAGCTATTCCAATGACAAAGATGGTTCTCATCACTGTCAAGAATAGCTGGAGCTGAGCAAAACAATTGCATGTGCAGATAAATAAAATAATTTTATTTGGAAAAGACATCTGAGACCATTTAGTGCAGCCATAAACCTAACACTACCGAGTCCACAGCTAAACCAAATTCCTAAGCATTCTATCTACACACCTTTTAAATACCTCCATGAATGGTGACTCAACCACCTCCCTAGGCAAACTGTTTTCTTGAAGAAATATCCAATCTAAACCTCCCCTGGTATAACGTGAGACCATTTTCTCTCATCACTTGTTACTTGAGACAAGAGAATGATGCTCACCTGCCTGCAACCTCCTTTCAGGTAGTTGTAGAGAGCAATAAGGTCTTCCCTGAGCCTTCTTTTCCTGGGTTAAATACCTCCAGCTTCTTCAGCCACCCCTCACAGAACTTGTTCTCCAGATCCTCTGCCAGCTTTGTTGCCTTTCTCCGCACACACTCCAACACCTCAATGGCTTTCTTGTAGTGAATAGAAATATTTAAGCAAAGTGATTGTCCTGGTGTCAATGGTTGGTAGAAGGAGGAGATGGGCAACTTGCTGTCAAAAATTGCAAGTTTTTTGTCTAGATCTGTTTTCAGATTTGGCTGAACATGAAGCTGCATGAACACTGCATCCAGGTGATGAGAAGAACTGACAGAAGCCATTGTTCCTTTTTGGCAAAAGTCAACTTTCATCAGGTTATAAAGCCTGTGCAGTCATGCATGTGGAGACCAGTGCAAGGAGAGCGTAAGTCACAAATTAGTCTGTTTGTCCTTAAATGCCTCCACTGAGACTGCCATAAAAAGTAGATCATAAATGCTGTTACTTTGGTATTATTTTGGTCTTTTTTTTTACATTGTCACTATTTTTCCAGTATCTAGCTACATGTTAACAAGTCCCTGAGACTTCAAAACTTACCAGGTAGAAGTTATTTTGTTACTTTCTTTAAAAATACTTTCCCTCAACTAAACAAGGCTCAGTATGTATTCTGCACTTCTTTTTTCCAAGTTCATACACCAGCTAGTGGTTAGGATAAGGGTGTTCTAACATTTGAATTCTTTGGACAGTATGTGTTATCTGGCTTGGCCAGTGAATTATGAAACATACACTGTTTAGATGGTTTGTCCTGAACTGGTCCCACCCAAGTACAACACAAGCAATAACTCTGAGCCATTCTGAAGATCTATTATATGTTTTCTTCCTTGCCATTCTCATTGCCTGACAGGCTCATCCCTTTTGGGTATTTTTTAAAGCCTGAGAAAAACTTGGAAGTCTCATAAAAGTTCCATGCAATGTCACTTATTTTCCTGTGTCTCCATTGAAGACTGTGGCCAGATGTTTAAAATTGAAAGGCTAGCATACATCTACAAGTTCCAGGTGTCCCCAGAAACCTCAGGTACTTAACATCTCAAAATCTGGGCCATGATTTCTATATTTATGAGATTCAAAATTCTCTCTGAGTTTTTAACAAAACTAAATTGTGTTTTGCTGCCATCAGAATCCACTGTGATAAAGTGAGATCTGATAAAGTACTAGGAAGTTTTCTCATTGTGTATAAATATTTATGTATGTAAATAGGTGTATGGTTAATTATAACTGACAAGAACAGACTGACACAAACTCAGATCCTCTGTCCCCATGGACAGATACAAGTTGCTTGTTGAAGTGTTGTGTTGTATCTCATGGGCTGTGCTCTGAATCATTGATTAAATGCTGCAGCTTGTGGATAGATGAAATGCCAGTGACTCCTGAGCAGGGAGCGAGGAAGAAATGTGCACTGAATAAGAACACAGAGAGATCACCTGGTTTATATTTCTTGATTTTTTAGAAATTGGTCAAGAGCGGAAAGGTTTCCCTTTATATTTTAGTAAAGTTTGAACAGAAGAATTTATTGAAGACTGCACAGGCTGTCTAGCTCACATATGCATACAAAATAGAATCCCTCACGCAGGAAAGAGTTAGAAAAGGCTTTAATAAGAAGATAGGACAAGCTACACTTGACAGGCACAGGGCAGTTTGAAAACAACCCTTGAATCTGACTCTTTCATCACAGGCAGAATCCCCGAATCTGCTTATATATTTGGAAAATGTTTGCATATAGCTGACACTTTTGAATGAGGCTTGCATTTTTTTGTTTCTGTTTTCTTTTGGTTTGGTTTTTTTTTTTTTTTTAATTCTATTTGTTACTGTGTGTTTTGTTTGCAGGTAAGCTTATGTCTCTTCTGCTGGGTACATCAAAAGAAAAACTCCATTTTACTTCTGCTTTTGCCTTTTCATAGATTTATAATGTTAGTTGAAGAGAAAAGAACTGTTTAGATTAAATTTAATGTCTATTTAATTAATATATATATATATTCAATAAAAATATGAATAAATGTTTAATAATGTGTAGCTGAAAACGTGGAATTATTTTGCATGACAATTTTGGAACATAGAGGAGGGGCATTTCCTTTCAATACTTCAACTTGTTTTTCTAGCATGGCATCATGCACTGCTTATGCATACCCTGAAACAGTAATATTTTTAAGTGTGCTATTTTTTGTTGGGTTTTTCTGTCATTTCATGATGAAAAGCTGCATAGTTTCTAATGTGCCAGTGTGATAACAACATACTACCATCATTTTACATGTTTTCTGTAAGACATTCCTTTATTGGATGAAGACTGTTAGATTGACATTTTTTGAATAATAGCATGCTATGTGGTCTATTCCTCTTTCAGAGAGAAGTCTTAATCTTGTCTTTGAAACCCTACTTCAAGGAAACCTGGAAAAAAGAGGATCATACCAAAACATACACTGGCATGAAGTTTTTTCTGGAACTAAACCTGTGAAACTGTTTTGAAATGCCTTGTTCAACAAATGTACTGCATGCATGTGTAATATAAGTGGATGTAAGGAACCTGGTAGGTAATTTGCCTTCTGTATAGAAGCAGAGATATCTGCTGATCAAGTGCATAGCATTTTCCCTTCCCTTTCCCCATATATTTTATTTCTATATGTGGCAAGAGACAGGCTCACCAACTACTTTCCTGAAGCAAAATAGAACTAAAAGACCTCCAAGTTACAAAGTCAGCTTGTGCTCCTAAATATCCAGCATTTTGCCTATACTGAGTTATCAATCTACATGATCTTGGGTACAAAGAAATTGGTATCTGAGTGCTAACAAATGTAGAAGTGCCTGACAGGAAAGACAGAAATATTTCACTGCAATTGTTGTTCAGTTTTGTATTAATTAACTAGAAAGATATCTCAAAAATTTTTGCAACTTATTGGCAAGTATATTCCCATATTGCAAAGACATTAATAGGTTATTTTTTTTTCACTTGTCAAAGGCTTAAGTGTAACAACTTGCACCTTCAGATTTTGAAATCCTAGTGAGCCTGGAGAGGCAGAGTAACTCAGATGTTATATTCCTGCCAAATTCACTTGTCATAAAGCCAAATGGGTTCTTAATGCTAAAAATTATTTGCAAGGATGATGAAAGTGCACCTGACTTCATGACCCCTATTCCAAAGCCCTTCTTATTGCCACCTGTACTTTGCACTGCACACTTCATGTAAACTGGGCTGTCAGTCTGGTTTTTTGTGCCCTTTATGAAAGTCCTTGCTGTGCTGGGTTCTTTGGGTCACTCCCTTAAGTATGGTGATTTTCAAGTCAATCTCCCATTTGTGCTATTGCTGCTGATGGGGAATCTGCTGTCATGCTTTTACTGCCTTCTTCTCATGTTAACCTTTTATAGTCCTATCAACCCTATTTCTTTTTACCCTCCTGTGTAGAGGTAGTTGATGGCAAGAGCTTTTTTTTTCTTTCTAGTCCTATCTTCATATTCTTTTGCATGTAGCTTGTCTGCTTCTATTACATAGCTGTCTTCTAGAGTTTAGCTTCTTCTGCTATCTTTAATGTATAACCATTCCAAATGACCTGCATTCCATTGCAACTTAAATATTATACTGCTGGATTAAGGGGCTTTAATGAGTTCATGGAATCATATTGTCTTGTGCATAATTTATTTTAATTGGAATCCCTGACAGGAGATGCACACAGGGCAGCTCATGTTGATTTTTCTGTTGACTTTGAAGCCTCCATTTGCAATCTACTTAACTGTTCTTTTTTGCATACAGCAGTGCTGAAGAAACTTATATACTGGTTATAACCAAAAGGCCTTTTAAATGTTGCACATTTTAGGAAGGTGCATTAAAATATTTCTATGGAAATTCAGAAATAATTTTCTAGAATAGGAGATTATGCCAAAATATTTGAAGACTTGTTGGGTCAACCTCAACTTGTTAATTTCATAAAATTGGTTCTCCATTGGCCTGTATAAATCCTACACTGTTTTTAGAGCCAGCTCTAAAATGTATGTGTTACTACCTAAATGCCCTCATAGATTCAGTTGCAAATTACTGCTCAAAGGGAAAAGAGAAAAAGGCTCATGAAGTAAAATCATTGTATTGGGTACACCTGTTGGACTTCACTTGTAGAAAGCCAAATTCAGTACTGTTTTGACCACAGATTCAGATACAGATACTCAAATAACAGTTGAAAAAGGAGAGGGACAGCTTAAATTAGTAGCTAAAACTATGAGATACCAAGTATTAAATAACAGCAAATATTGCAAGTTAGGATTGAGGTTCAATATCAGAATATGGGCTATGACTGGAGTAGATGTGCCACAGGGATTAAGGATAGATGAAACTGTAGAGCATTGGTAAGCAAGTCTAGAGATACCAGAACTTGATAAGCAGGAGGCAACAGGTGAGAACTGAAGCACTGCAGCAGATGTAGGTAGAGGAAGAGCCTCTGGACCCCTGACCAGAAGACCAAAGGTTGCTGTGAGTTTGTTTAAGATGCATTATTAGAAAGTATAGTTTTGCAACACCTGCAAGTGAGAAGCACCAGCTACTATAGCTTACCTTTAAAGCTTCAAATTTAAGAGTTTTAATCAATCCTTTTTGATTGAAGAGGAGGTGATTTCAGTCTTAAAATTGCTAAAGTGGTTGTTGTTGCTCTTGTCTAGTAGCAGAAATGGAATACAGAATCTTGCATGACCTTACTTCTTTTTTATTATTATTTTTTTATATAAAGCTACCTAAAAATAGAAATAGAAAACCTAACTTTAGCTTTCACTGTCCCTGTTTGGAAAGTCTGGTCAAAGGCCTATGGCAAAACTATGCAATATCCTCTGAACTACAATAGCTGTCTGTTAGAGTGCTCCTTTCTCTTACAGAGGGAATACTTCATACATAGCTTACATCTGCTCCAGTATCCACAGACAGTAAAATCATCCATATATTTTATCTTAAAAACAAAATTAGTAGTCATTAAATTCCCCTGTTTTAACAATAAACCAAGATGCAAGGTATTTTGACAGATGTGACATTAACTACATATGAAATAGTACCATGTAGGCTTCTCTTTGGTGTCATTCCAGATGAAAACATATAGAAAAGGTTTTTATTATTATTTTTAAAACACATGATTTTTATCACAAACCTGGATAAGGTTTTTCACCCTAAGAAATTTATAGATGTCAGCTGATGGACAACTACTCATCACATTATTTTGTCATGTTTGTTTGTATTGGTTTTCTGTGAATAAAAGATACTCTAAGCATCCTTGGGAAATTTATCACTCTCTGTTTTTTTGTTGTGGATGTATTTATAATGTCTGTTATACATGATGTAGAGTAATAGAGTTTGTTTAAGCTGACCAGTACTACCCCACAATCTTCTATTTTATGCTCTGAATGTAAGACAGACCAAATAAGTCACTTTACAAAACCAGAAGACTTCTATACTTTGCTTATATGTGAGGTCTGCAAGCTTGCTTGCTACTAGTCTCTTTTAGGCTGGCCAGCTATTAGATTTCACCAATTAAAGGATCTTGTTTCAGCTATTTTGTGAATGCTATTTCAATTTTAACAATAGTGATTAAGCTCTTTTCAGAACAGAAGGAAACAGCCTCTTCCTCACTGGCTATGCAGCTCTTTTCTCATTGGAACAGTATTTAGGACATTAGCAATCTTGGGTATTAATGTATGCTAGTCAGCTAAATAAAGCTTATCTTTTATAATGGATTTTAGACCACCTAACGTTTCAGTTACATGATATGCTGATTTTTGTTCTTAATCCCAGGACATTTTCTGGAAGAATTGGATCACAACATAAAAAGCCATTTCTGATAGATAAGTTGGTCACTATATTATTTTCTTTTTCCTGCTCTGAAAATGTTCACATTAATTTACTGTAGGTATTTGTGAATTTATTTGGAAAATATTTTCACTACATGAATATCTTGTGAACAGTTTGTTTGTTATCTAACATGTACATTAATTCAGTGTTGGTTAGTCATTTGACAGTTTCTCTACTGAGTTTCTTTGCATCATACAAAGACCTTTCACATTCAAAGTATTGTGAAAAATCAAACTCAACATACATTTTGCTACTACTTAAGATTTTGCTTTAATTCTCTATGGCAAATGAAAGTAAACCTTGATTATTTCAGAGCTCAGATAAACATCAATGGCACTTTTCTTATTGCTCAGGTAGCTCAAGTAATTGCAACCTTCTGACCCGGATTCTCCCTGCAGACTCAGGTCAGTACAACCTTCTTCTCTTGGTCTTTTACACTGCTGTGCAAAGTCCCTATGGGCTGTGAAGTTGTCATAGTCCACTCCAGAAATGGCTTAATTGCAGCAAAACACATTTATTAAATCCTTTGGGATCTTTCCATGTAGGGCCCTGAGTGTAAGGTTTCCTTCATGTGCTTTGTAACTAAAGAATACAGTCAACCACTATTAAGCCTAAGAAGGTATTAATTCAAATCAGGCATTTACAGATAGATTTATACAGTTAAAGAGAATAGCTTTATTTGTCTATCTTTGTGTCAACTTCTGGTTTCTGTAAAGTCTGTAAAGTCAGTGACAGACATATATTTAACACTTACTAAAATAAATAGGGCCTCAATTTGTTGTATTTAATCATTCATGCTTGATAATCTTGTCTGTACTTCTGTGTTGTCTTAACTGTAAACACTACAATTGTATCATTACAAGGTACAGTGAGGGTTATGCAATTGTTCAGAAAATACTTTGAGATAATCAAACGAAAGACAATTGCAGGAGTGCAAGGCATTTTAATGTGGTTTCTCTAAATATTGGTCATGGACAGAGGCTATGCTATAATTATAATATTTTATGGACAATATCTTGAGTAAAATTTAATTCAATCTACTTTGACTTTTAATTTAATTGTTACTATCTGAAAAACAATTGTATTTAGGGACTGTAGATGGGTGGGATAGCCAGTGGTGGTATCCAGATAGCTGTGAAGGATTTCCCCTGAAGACATGGTAGAACAGACTCTGTAGTGATGATCCTCATTTTATCCAAGGTGGCCAAAGTCATTACTGCCAGCCAGCACTGCTGGTTTGTCTCTGTGCAGTTAAGAAACCTTTCTCTTGGGACAGGAGTGTGATATTAGCAATGCCTTGGAGTTTCTTTCTAGATGCTGGAGGAACCAATAGGGATGGCAGAGTAAGGAATTTGGCAGCAAAGGGGATGGAGCAGAGTGCTGAAGGGGAAGACTCTGGTGTTTGCATTTTCAGTGGAAGGCTTCCAGAAAATAACAAATGAGATAGACAAAGGCATCTTGGCTTTTGAAGTCTGAAGTATCTCAGGATATTGAGAACAAATATTCTGTATGCAAAATGAAATCTGGAGTTATCGATTACTTCATGTCAGAAATGTTGTCAGAAAAAGCATCAGAGAATAAATATATCAGTGCTCTTGTAAAGTCACTAAGTATTTTGTATTTATGAATGAAGTCTCTTCTTCTGATCTTCTCAGTTGATATGTTCACTGCCTTTTATTGTCATACAGGAAGATTATTCCATTTTGATGAAAAGATAATTTATGAATCAACCTGCTCTCATCCATCTGCAGGACATCAGAGCATCTTGCCAAGATGCATCTGACACACACAAACATGTGATTTCACTCCCTTTGGTTGTTTTACTATTTATTACACAACTGCAGCAGCAATTTTTTCCTCTGACTTACTTTTTATCTACAACCATTGGGTATTCTCCTGGATATTGCTGCTGCTTTGCTTTAATAGTCTTTAAGGGTCAGGAGAGGGACTAAAGAAGATGCCAGAGCAACTTATGTTCCCTTGGCAGATTTTTTTTAGGTATGAGGACATCTATGGCCTTTTTAGAAGTTATTCAGGTGACTCATATTACTTAGTAGACAGAGAATATTATGGTGGAAATTTTTAGTGAGGTTTTTGCATATTAAGACTTTCACTAGGGGTCTTTCTGTGACCCTGCAGTCTTTTACACTTCGATTCTCCCCAGATATTTCTTCATGCCCTTGAGTTTGAATGTGTCCAATGTTGAGGGGATTTTCATAGGACCTCATGAGGAACTGACATCCAGAAGCTGACTCTCCAGCAATTAAACATTAATACACAGTGTTCAATACATCTATAGCTCACTTTGTAGCATTTGTATACCCCTTCTTATGGATACTTTATGCAATACCACTCCCACACCACCACTTCCAGTGCTGCCTCAAATTCAGTTTTGGTTGCCAGTCCCAGACAATATACTGCCTTTGAGAACAAATGCAAAGATGTGTAGTTGTCAGTGTTTGATGACTTTTCCTTAAGCACACCTCTGTTTCCATTTTGTTTTTCTCCATGCAGCTTAACTCCCTTATTACAAACACCAGTTTTTCCCAGCCTTTTTGTTTCTCCACATACAGAAACTCAGAAGAGTTGCAGCAGGCTCCTAGAATATTTTTCCCTGGGTCAATTTCATCCAAGCACTTGATATTGCTGGTCAGTTTGGAGTTGTAATTTGAGAGGACCACCCTCAAATTTCTTGAGTGGATGAGGAGACATGACATCAGCCTCTATGTGAGAGACAAACTCAGATAAGAAGAAAGAAAGCTGGCAACCAAGTTAGTGTGTCTTGTCAAGTTACCCTATTGGAGCCTATCAGTGTCAGCTTGTGCACAGAAATAGAAGCCCCATGGTAAATTAAATCTATTAAAACAAAATAGATAAAAGGTAAGGGGCACACTTAACCTCCTAAACCTACTATTCTTTAATTTTAGCTCAATCTGTTTTGGATGAAGCATTTTTTTTCAATGTTTCCATTAAATGAACAGCTGTGAGGTTTATTAAGCTAAGAAAAGTAGTTGAGGTGAAGATTTAAATAGTTTAAGAGCTGCAAGTAGAGGAAACATTACAAACCAGGACAAGCAGAAGAGAAAAATTAAAAGAAAATAAAATGGAAACAAGATACACATACCACTAATTTTCTGCTTCTACACTGAATAGCTTTCCCTTATTCCTTTATTTTTGTTTGAAGAATTGCAGTCCATCTGGCAGAGAGGTGTATCTTCTCTTTTTGTGGCTGATGTAGTATGAAAAAAATCTAAGCCAGCATCAATATTTTACGAAGTTGAACTAAGGCAGCATGTGCCCCCATAGCTCCAACTCTTGTTGCTTTTACAGAATACGAGTACATTACTTTAGAATGTTTTATGGCCAATGATTTTATTTACATAAGAGCCTGTGCAGTTATTGATGCTTGGCCTGATCTGGTTTTTTGGGCTCTGTGCATGTTCACTGAAGGGGACAGAAGACCAGTAGGCAGCTATTGGCAATGAAACAGGAGCAAGGAATCCTTCTGAGGCTGTTAGTGAAAAAGATGCACTCTCGAGCTTCTGGAAGCTGTGCCCAGCTGACCGCGCTGGGGATAGAGACAGCAGCTATATATAGGTGTGGCCTGAGGCTGCAGGGGACCACACACAGGCACAGTGGTGCTCCTCACAAGCCAAATAAAGCTGCTGCTGCCTGTGTGAATCAGCTGGTGAGTCAGCAAAGCCTTTGCCAGGAGAACAGCAGGCACAGAAAAAGGTATGCTAACTGGGTTTCCTAAGTAATAGCTTTTTGTTGTGCCTTTTGGGGTGCAGAAAGTGAAGAAATGTGCATAGTCTGCTGTTTCACAGAGTGATTTCACATTTAACCTGGCAAGTTCTTCAAAAACATGAGAAAAAGCAAATAACTGAGAAATGTTGCAGAGCTATAAGGAATGTCTGAAGGCATTCGAATAGTGCCAGACATGTAAGGTTAGATGTGTTTGGCTTTTGAAATTTGGAAATTGTTGTCAGAGAGACATAGGAGAATCGACTGAAGTGTTCTGGAAGTATCTACATCCAGGGCAGATGAGAGAAACTGGCATCTAAGAACAGATCTAGGTGAGAAAGTTGGTTTTGGGGAAAGCAGTATTTTTTCCCAAGGCAGATGGTCATGATGCTGGTTTTTCTTTATGGTCAGCCGGTCATGGCGCAAGGCCAGTAGTGTTCACCATGTAGCTGTGCCTGGGTTTGTGCAGAAGGCAGGTGCAGAGTGGAGAAGCCTGCCTTGACACATGTGAGGTAAAGAGGAAGCAAGGCCAGGTGTGTGGGACGTGGCAGCTTCTGCAGCCAGGATGGCTCCCACTGGGGAGCCAGTGGCTTCCTAGAGCCAGGGGAAGGACAAGCAAGCAAGCTTACAGATCTGAAGAAGGATTATGGCCACAACTGGTAAAGAAACACTGATGTGAATGAGTGGGC